GGTTCATAATTCCAAAAGAATTGGATCTCATGTGTGAAAAAGTATGTTGCCTGCAGCACGAATTTCTCTCGTTTAGTTGGACCTCTTGAAGCTCGAATACCCCTGTTCACGCCACCCTCTCGAATACTGAATCATAGTGCTTATGTTTAGCCACAAACCACTCACGGCTGTTCTTTTGGGTTCAAAGAAAAGATGTATGTATGGCATAACATCTTCGCTGAGTGTAGAAGTAAAATAATAGTTATACTTAGTTCCGGTAGTTTCCAGTGCACCGTAAACAGTGCCAGTTGGAGCAGATCGTTCTTTACCCTTTTACTGTAACTTGAGCTTGATGGGTTTCGAGACGCTACCGTTATCAACGGAATACAGACCAGCGAGAAGAAAATTCTTCTCTTTGAATTTTCTGCCTGCTATATAAGTTCCACGTTGCATTTCTCACCTTCTTGCACTTTACCCAATCTCGAGAGCCCTTGGAAGAGCAGGTGTTCTCAGAACTTCAACTTCCTTTCATTCAACTACTTGTTCAATATTTATATCTAGTTTTCGGAGAGATGTTCGCCAAATCAACGGGAAATGTCCTGCGCATAATTCTGGGTGCAATCTTCTCACAAGGCTATCATTAAGATTATCCGCTAGTTCGGACTCTACCCTGCCCATTTTTCAAATGCGAACGGAGCTTTTTCGAGTGGGCGGAGCTCCCAGTAGTGGGCGGAATCACCTGGTACAGAAAAAGGCGAATCTTGGAAGAAAAGATTAAAATTCCAACAAAAGACTCAGAAGTGGGTGTGTTCGGAAGGGCAAGGCATAATTTGTCAGCATAGCTATGAGTACATCCACTTAGTGGAGGCTTAATGTGAAAAAGACCACGTCGAAAAAAGTTATTAAAAAGTTATAGAAAACCCATGACCACGCTAAGAAGCGGGCGGGGCTTTGGGGCGGAGTTCCATCAGTATCTAGATACTGCTACGAACTCAGGTCTATGTAGTTAATTATCTGTAATGGGTGTGGTCGACCTGATTTGAAAAAACGTCCCATCTGATTCGGAAAGCGTTGAATTTGGTTTGAGAAGGGTCCGACTTCATTTGAAAAGTGTCAAATTTGGCTTAAGAAGTGTCCGATTTGGAATGAAAATGGTATATGTTAGATCCTGCGCTGGGTGCTGACCCGGTAACTGACTAGTACTTTCCTATACTGAACGGCGTTTTAGTAGAAATCAGATACTTCAAGAGGGACGCAGAGGGAACTCAGACATCCCAAGAACGTGGAAAGCTTAGGAGCAGATGTTTTTCTCTCACTGATGGAGGGTCAGAGGATGTATCTGGCAGTCTGCTACCTATACTTATACTTATACTTTATTCTTTATCGCGCAGTTTGCCGGCTTCGATCACAGACACAAATAGAGTGTTTTTGATCATTTGTGCGAAGATTCTCGAGGAACCGGCAGCGGTGAATAATGTCGTCCATCTTCTAGTCATGTCTCTGGTCCTTGCTCCAGTATAAGAGCGAAGTCGTCCAGCCTTGTTTCTGTGCGTCAGACGCTCCCTTTCCCTTGTGGATCAGTCAGTTCCACTCGAGCCCAGGAAGTCTTGAAGGGACCTTCTGGAGAGACACCAGCGTAGACGCATTTTTGTAGTGCCGAAACCACCCAATCTTTCAGCGATGTCCTTCTGCGTAGGATTTTGGATGAGATTTTGTCCGAAAGCCTAGCTCCAAGTATGGCTCTTTCTAAACGTCTTTGTGCTGTTCTGAGGCACATCGCCACTTCCTTTGTCCATACCCATGTTTCGCAACCATATAACACTGTTGGTAGGATACACATATTGATAAGTTTTCGTTTCAAACTCATTTCCACTCGAGGTTGTCGAAGGAACAGTCGGTTCTTGAAGTATGAGGCACGAGCTGCTTGAATACGACTATGGATCACATCCTTTTGCGGGAACGTTATCCTTTGACCGAGATAACTGAAATGGTCGACTCGTTCGATTTCATTTTCCTGCACGTATAAGGGACCGTCGATATCTCCTAGATCGGCTTTACTCAATCTCATCCATTTCGTCTTCATAAAATTAATAGTGAGTCCCACTTTCTCCGCAGCATCGGCCAACATTTTTGCCATTATTCCAATATCTTCACAACTATGAGCGAGAAGGACAATATCATCAGCATAAGCTAGGTACGAGAGGGTTTTGTTCCCTAGTTTCAGTCCTTTGCCCTGCCAATCTATCAGATTCAGCGCGTACTGGAGAACTAATGTGAAGAGAACTGGAGACATTGAGTCTCCTTGTCTTACACCCAGCCGCATGCAGATTAGAAACTCCTGGACAGTTGGTTCGCTAATTCTGACGGCAGCGTTACTGGTGCATAATTAGCAGGTTGTAAGGCTCATTATCAATTTTTCCTCCGCTTTCTTGGAATCGACGAAAACGGCACATAGCTCTATATTGAACTCGTGACATTTCTCGGTAATCATATTAATAGTGTGAATATGATCTATGGTCGAGAAGTGCTTGCGGAAACCAGCCTGCTCCGGTGGTAGAATTGACTTTTCCTCAATTGTGGCTGTCAAACGGTCTGTAAATATTCTTGTCAGCACCTTATACAGCGTCGACAGGCACGATATTGTCTGTAATTACGATGATTAGTACTTCCCCAGCTTTGTAAGAGTAGATGTGTGAGCGAATCAAAACTTGCTAGCACGAACCGTTCCCGTTATCAGTTCGAAAAACAATGGGTATGGTAAGGGCGAGTATTTGTGAAAGAGCACGAAGAGAAGGGGATTGAATGCCATCGGAACCAGCAGCTGAACGTGCTTTGCTTCTCTTCATTGCCATTTGCACTTCATTATTGTGGACCTGCAGATTTATTTGGCCTGATGGTGGAGTGGGTGGGCCGAAGGGAGGAGTGGTACAGTGCGTTATAAAAATTTCTCACTGCTTTCACTGACTGCGACACGTGATCAGGAAAAGGTTCATCTGATGGGGAGGGGTCGCTAGGAGGGGAGGAGGTGGTTTCTTTCAGGATTGTCAAGGATCTTCTTGCGTGTAAAGCTTGCATGCGCCCACGTCGAAGGCGTCCGGACTTGATGGCTTGACGAAATATTTGAATATGACGTTGTCGCAAATCTTCTTGGATAGATTTTCGGGCTAGCTTGCAAATCTCAGCATACTCCACGATTCCCCTCCCATTATCTCCGTGATGTAGCTCTCGTCGTCTGGAGACATCCGGGTCCCTGGTGATAGACCTGATGAAGATATTCATACCTTGTGGACATCTGAGTAAGCTCTGGTAATGTAATGGTATCATAATCTTTGATTGTATCACCAGTCATCATATTTTCATGTAGTAAACATTGAGCGGTTGAACACAATAAGTCGCTGTCGATAACGGGGAATCCTCTTGGTCTTCTTACTGGTTGTGAGATCGGATTCAGACGTATTTTACATCTTAACATGCGGTGATCACTCCCCGTGTTAACACTAGTGAGCACTCCTACATCGACAACGCCCTTCATACTTCTCAACAATACATAATCAATCTCTTTCTTCAGATGTTAAAATGACAACAGATTTGTCCACTACAGTCTGCTACTGTAGTGGACAAATCTGGTGTCATTTTAACAAATGTAACTTATAGTGGGAAAGAAATGATGGAGGTTTGTTGGGACATGTTGGGAGATTCCCTAGATCATTGTAAGTGGCACTATATTTGCGCACCACCTCTATACTGTAATACGCAGGTATGCAAAACCCGGTATCGATAAATCCACGGAACAGATAATGCTCAAAAAAAATTAGTTTCCCATTTTTACAGGAACCAGTAAATCGATTTGAAGGCAGTTGGCACGATGGCTTGGTGCTCGGCCTCAAAAATCCTGCGAAGAAAAAGAGCCTCCGTCTCAAGTGTCAAGAATTAAGTTTTGACGAAAAAAGAAAGTTCCCTTGGCACTCTAATAACCGCTAGTGAAGGGTACGGCAAGCGGCCGTGATCCATGTAGCATCACGGCCGCTTCATACCAGTCCCTTCGCTTCATAATTTGCTCAGCAAATGAATGAATACGAGCGTCAGAAACGGTCGTCCGTTTGTGGGCGGGCGGGCGTGGCGGGCGTTTGGGACGGAATGTTTGTGGCTGATAAGGGCCCCTATGACAGACATGCAGCGCCTGATCAGGTTCGCGTAACGCAGGCGTAATTAAATCCAACTCGCTTGGGAAACTTATCGAGCCAACGTCGTTTAAGAAGAACGTACATTCAATAAATAGTGAGTAAAACAGCAAAAATTTCAACCCGAATCAGGAATGGTAACCTTTAGCAATGGAGTGACGGTATAATAGTCCGAGAAATACTAGAATACCGTCAAAAAGTTTGACTAGCAGCCATGCTACGCGACATGTAAGCCCAGCCCTTCACAAGAAGGGGATTTCTGCGATTCCATTGATCTAGTGTTCTCATTATAAAAAAAGAAAGCCTCTGCCCTTGCCATTTCGAAAAATGCCAGGCTTGGTTATATTCATTAAATGTCCGAGAGGAAACGTGCAATAATCCGAAAAAGTAAATTCGTCGTGCAGACGCCAGCCATCTCACAAACGCGTTCGCCGTCCTAGGCGGACAAAACTGCTTAATGATGTACATGTAATAATGAAGCAATGGTATGGCTGAAACATTTATATATTGAAAAATGGACTCCCACTCCACAACATCAAGGAATCTTCCTAATGTGGACGGACGTGGTGTAGTGGCAAGTAACAGGCTTACCTCAAGCTTGATCTGAGAATCAAAGCCCGGAACGGTTCCCGCTCAAACCACCCAGGATCTTTACCCTCCGGGGACGGTGAAGTGGTACCAGATTCGTCTGGGAGGATAAAACACTGTACATCGGCTGTCTCCGCAAGTCATTGCATAGGCCACTTCGCATTCAATAAGCCCCACGATTCCGAAAGGAAGAAGAGTGCGTGCCGCATCCCAAAAAGGATTGACTAAGGCGGAAAAACCTTTTATCCCTTAGTGCCGATGTATGGTGCAGAATGTGCTTGAACAAGATCCCGTCAGTTCCAATAATATTCCTATTGAAGACTCGCGATTGTATACTGTGGACAATGGCGTTCGGTAAAACCAGTAGTCGCTTAATACTCTCCGTGGAAGAAAAAAGCAAAATGTTATGGGGAATCTTGGGTAGGGACTTGTCAGCTTCCTTAGGCGAGTTTTCTGGACTTGCTCGTTTTATCCCAGCAAAAGCGGTATCCTGCCGCCTCTAACTCCCTAATCGTTTCTTCCCTTCACATAGTGCTAATATCATCTAACAGTTAGAGAAAAAAAATGAAGAATGCAGGGTAAAATTGAACTATGCCCTTGAGTTTCGGTGGGCTGGACCGGTAGGGAATCGTGAGGACTGCCACTTCTGAGGGCCATAGTGCCATTGTTACTTCCTGGGAAGTCGCGTGGGATTCCTCAGAGACTGGGGCCAGAATACTTGTTCAAGCAAGGAAGCCTACGAATTACTTGAGCGCGGGGACTGTCTTTAACTTAAGAAAACCCTCACATCACCATCTTATCTCGCTCCTATGGAACTCAAGGGTGCAGCACACGTCGTATCAATCCGTGCCCCTCCAGAACAGCCATCTAGATCAGGCACCTTATGGCTGTTAGAAACGCCAAGCGCTGACACTATAGCTTTCATTCTTGATGCAATCCCCACCCAAACGTCCAATCAATTTCCGCCAACCCAGAAGATGGTCATGATAAAAAGGGGCACATGTTCGATATACTTCAGAAAAAGAGAAATGGCCGACTGGCCCGGTGGAAGAAGAGGGATGTAAGCTATGGTGCACCCTAGGAAGGAAAAATCAAAGGGAAAATAAAATCAAAAAAACCAAAGCGTGTAAAATCCCTCGACCCCAAATGCGAACCCACTTCCTGCAGTTGAATACGGCCCTTGGAATTCCCCTACAACGATGTGTTTACTATTGATACGGTCCCCCCTTAGCGATGAATCACTAGTTGCTTTCACGTGAACCATGTTGTACCTACACGACGATGATTTCGAGAGGGGGTAGGGGTTCGAGGCCGGCAGCCAACTGCGCAAGTTCAGCGATGCTAAACAGTTTGTATGTAATTGTACGGTGGTCACTTTGACGGCATTGAAGAGCTCAATTAGTAGTCGGAAACAAATTGCAGGAAAACAAAATGCACATTTGGACGATTTTTGGGCAGGTCGAAGCAACACTCAAATGCACGTCCTGATATCGGTGATCGTGAGAGAAATGGATATTCAGCCTAACTCAACGCTTGTGGTACTGAGGAAAGTAATGGATGGCCGACCAGTGACGAGGGCTAATACGACGCACGGCGTCTATTGCTATGAGGCATGCGAAGCTCGAGAAATCCGAGAACTAAATTGACGCCCTCCGGCAGTCGTCTTGAGTCCCCTAAAATAAGCAATGAGCACTGGGAATCAGCAGCACGGATAAGTGTAGCCTCGAGCATCACACACACACCCGCATTTCGGAAACGATAAACAGCAAAAGTAGTGAGAGGGGAAACACGGTGATCAACAAGCACACATCGGGTACAAACTCATTAGGAATCCACAATGGCGCTGTGAGAGTGCTTTGGCTCTCTAAGATGATTTTCCTGACTGGAGAACTGCTGGTTCTTTGAGCTTATTATTTTATTTCATTATTCACTATTTTGCCCCGATTGATGATTTTGCACGTTCCATGCACGCTTCATTTTAGCCAATCGAGTATGCAATTACTTTGGCTACTTTTGGCAGTCGGTCCGAGCTCTACTTCCAACGCTGCGTCGGGACAATTGAGGATTTTTGTTGCTAGAAGAAAAAAAGACCCGCAGAAGAGAAGAAAGCAAAAATGGTGGGATTGAGGGAAAAAGCTTACCACGCCATGAACTCGTGCTTGCGCCTTCCGAGTAATAGATTTTCTCATTACAATGCAATGGCCATGTCAATTCCCTCACTTCTATCGTAATTTTTTTTCACACTTACGAGGCTTCTCGTTACTTATAGCGTAACTTGAACATTAAAATTGCTTTCAGCCTTACTTTTCCTTTGGCCGGCAAGAGCCAGGGGAGGGAAATGCAATGGCTGAGGGCTTCTCCTTGACAGGTCACGTCGTACGTTGGGTATACCCAGCAACAGGTGTCGTATTTCGTACCGGGAGCGTCATTTGCCCTTAAAAGAAACTGTTTCCGGTTATTGATGTTTTTTCCAGTTTTTCATGATTCAAGTGGTTTATAACTCCTAATGGCACGGTCCGCGATAAATTAGGCGGTGATGTTGAAATATGGAGGAGAGGTTGTCAAGTGACTCATCTGTGAAGAGGAAATGCCAAAGGGACGGCACGCCAACGTCCTTCATTTTTGGGCACCTCACCACCTCAGACAAAATGTACGGTAAAAGCTAAGGACCTGCCGTGTTGGGCGGTCCCAGTCAGTTGAACGCTAGGACCCCATAGGAGTCACTAGAGCATCCATTGCTTGCCACTTATCCGGTCGCGTCGCTCTTGGCTGAAAGGCGGACTCTGGTGGAGTCTGGAGGCGGAGTCAAAGGGGAAAGGGCGGCGTCACTAGGGCAACGTTGCACCTCAACTCCTCCACCATATAATTTCCGCCGCGAAACAGGCACAAGGTTATCTACGAGGCTTACACTAACCCTTCCACACAGTTTTTGTGCATTTTCTTGAGATCCATCGCGGCTCGCGTCGTTAATGCAACGCTTCCCACTTTGCCGCTCGAAGATACTAATGGTAGCAAAAAACTGCATAGAACTTTCGGAGGTATAAACTTAGAGAGGAGGCGACAGGAAGCTTGAAAATTCCGGA